CATTTCAACCACTTGTGTTCCTTACAAGTGACTGTATCTATCAAAAGTGTTGTCAAGAAAGGAAAAAGCAGGTGCCAATCCAGCCTAAAGTATTAATTTATACTTGCAAATATATTGCTTGAAAAAAGTGTTTTGTTTGATTTCTTATACTATTTAACACTTCCATAAAGAAAACCTTTGAAACATAAACCGTAAGCCAAAACTAAGGAAAGAACATTCTTCCTAAGCTACCAAGTAACACTACCTAAGGAGATGTCATGATCCATTCACCTCACCTGTTATATCAAACCTCAGCTGTTTCCAGTGAGAAATTTTCACTGGGCATGTGTGCAGCCACAGCTCTAACTCATACAGCCATGACAACTTTGCAGATAATTTAAGTAACTGCAGGAAGATGCTAGAGAAAAGTACGCTGATAAATTAGAGATTCTCTACAATCTGCTGTGCTATTTCCTGCTCAGGTAATGCTGAACACAATAAAATATTCCAAGGAATCTACTTAGTGTATAGATATACTTAATCCGTGTTCAAAATCTACTGGCTTCATCGACAAGAAAACAGCTACTATTTAAAAGGCAGTAATAACCCCACTTCGTAGATCCAGACCACAAGACCAAATTAAAAATATTGATTCAGCCCTCTGTATACTAGTAGGAAGAGCAGAAGAACACGAATAAATTTTTAGTTTGCAGCCATATAGTCTTGATTTATGGTTAGTTAGTAGATGTTAAGCTAAAGTAAAACATAGTCATCGCAGGTTACTGTAAGAGCTTCCATACTTTGTAATGTAAATACATCTACAATATGAATGACAGCATGGCAGAATTATTTACTGACTCTTATTATAAAAGAGCTAACTTAAGTTGCATCAAATGAAATTACCAGGTGTCAAGTTCAAAAAAACTCAGCAAAAAGTTGTATTTTTCCCAACATGGGCTCCAACTACGTTGCGGAACTCACCGCCCAAGAATGCTGTGGATACAAGAGGTTTATATAAATTCAAAAGAAAACAAAACCATTATTTTTTTCAAAAAAGAGGAAAAAAATGGAAACAGTAAATGGTTTTAACTCAAAGAGAAATCAGCTCTGATCCAAAAGAAAACCAGGGATACACAACCATTTACCTTGATCCATTTTTATGTTCGTCCTTAGGCATCTGCTACTGACTACTCCTGAAGGCAGGAATGGAGTTGATGCATCTTTGCTCTGACCTGGAAATGCTGTTCTCATGTTAATTTTAACAAATTAACAAAGAATCACAAATCTACTTGCACAAAACCAAAACTACTTACTAAAATACAGAAGATAAGGTTTTGTCAAAATGAACATGACATTTCTTGGAACAGTCAAGCCCAAGAAGTCAGGATCGTTGTGAATTTAAATGCTAATATACAGAGCACATCCAAGAAACCCCAAAAGAAAAACAAAACAAAAAAACTTCTTCAAAGCTGAGTTGTACCCAGAAGTCAATCTGCTTTTTCCAGCTGTATCAGTTACATCTGTCTGGAATCCTGCCTCTTCAGAAGCTGAATACAAGAGCTCTGTCAACAACTGCCGCTGTGCCCAGCACAAAAGGTATTTTTCAAGCCAAGTACCTCAAAAGTCAAATATTAATGTTATTATTTACCTAGCAATACATCCTAACAATGCTTTCACTGAAGTCAGGGAAAATTTGACAAGCATCAAATGAAACCAATTAAAAACCATGACCTTTATGAACTGGACGGTGATAGTCCATGCACCTTAAAGGTAGTTGTAAAAGACTAATTGAACTGCTTTGATTTGTGTGTATTTAACAGGAGACTCTAAAACCTCTTTCATCCCATCCCTCTGTATGCTATGACATTGACAGGAGAGCTACTTACCGGACGTGAACAAAAAAATTGTTATTTCCCCCCAGCCCTCATTTTATTCATCTAACGAGATGACAGCTGGTTTGTATATACACAAGTATGTGAGTCTGTCAAGAATCGGAAAAACAAAAACATACTTCCCACTGCTATTACCTCCTGCTTGATAACTTAAACATTTGAATTGTGAGTGAAGCTTCCAGGGAAGCATTAAAAATAGCAACCAGAACAGTTATCTTAATGCACAGTAATTCCGTGTTTCATGGTGTTTATAGCTGTAGAAAGATGTCTTTGTTACAGGTAAAAGTATACTCTAACCTTAGTAATTTAATTTCCCCAGATGTTAAAAAAACATGTTTTGCAGGACACTATAAAGCTGTATTTCTGCTTTTCCCCTCCAAAAACAGGAAGTTCAACAACATTATTAACGCAGTCATATTTATACAATTATTAGTGACAATTAAATAAGACATTTCAAATCCATAACATAATAAAAAAAATATTTTACTTGGAGTCATCTGTAAGCCACTACTAATTAGAAAAAACAGAGATGGACCCCTCCGTTCTTGGTTTCCAAGATCCCTTAAAAACAAACAGAAGGAACAGGCCACCCTGATTTTTTTTAAAACTTCACCTGCCATTAAAATTTCAAATGATTGTACAGCCACAGGCAAAGCATATTACTGGCAACATAGTAGGATTAAACAACAACAACAAAAATAGATCTAGTGATTACTTGAGCTGGAGGTTAGCAATCATCAATCCTGAACTCATACCAAAACTACTTTCTTTCCAATCATGTTTTAACTGTTAATTAATGTTTACATTGTACTGAAGTAACTAAGTTTAATTGTTAAAATGCAGGAGATCATCTTCAGTGTGACCAGTTAAATCTACAATGAAACTCAAGAACACGGTTACAAACAATATTAGTCATCAGTAATTCACAGTAATGACTTGCTGTAAGCCGATAACGTCTGCTTTGAGTTTGCCTGAAGACTCCTGTGTTTAAAAAAAAAAGCTTTGCAGATAAAGAAACTACTATTTCCCTACACAACTCCAGTAAGACTTTCCTTTCTTAAACACGTTTTGGTTTTTTAATAAAAGTAATAAAGCAGCATTTGATCTTAATCACCAGTCTAACTATGACCCTGTAGATTTTGCCTGCCCTTCAAGATAAAACTCATCCCTGCGCCTGTTGACTGAAGAAATCCTAGTTCACCCAGTGTACACACAGCTCCATTGTTTCCAGCCAGGACTGACAGTATGCCACCTTTTATTTACAAGACTTGATGGAAGATCACACCTACATTTTGTAACCAGGACATAACTACTTCAACCAGATTACAGATCTTGAAACTGAAGGCTACTAGTGTGCAGTCTAAGAAATGGTGTAATCACTGAACACAGTTTCAAGCAAATGCTAGTTTCTGTAACACCACCCACGTACACTCGTGAAGAAATTTTAACTGCACAGAAGTTTTCATCATTGTTCAATAAAAAAGTGACACAAAAAATCCTGCAGAATTTTCTTTCCACTTAAAAAGCAACAATGATAGAAAGAACTAGAATAAATTACAAGTCAATAATTACACGGACAGCATGAAGAAGCAGCACCTTTTTTTTCCTGATGTCTTAAGCATTTAACAGAATGCTACTGACTGAATTACTCGAACCAATTCTAGACTACATTTGGAATCAATGCATGTAACACACAATGGCTTGCTCGCAACTAGTGTATTATACCTGTAACCTCTGTTTACAAAAAAAAAAAAAAAAAAAAAGACTGGATCTGTATTTCATAAATGTGTTAGATTAAAATACAGATTAACCACATGCCAAAATATTATTAATATTACAAAACAAAAAGCGAAAATAGAAGTTACAGTTAAAGGTCAAACAAGTCCTCCAACTGTATTCATGATTATACAACTCCACACATACTGGCACTGTTAAAACCCTTTCAGAATGAGCGTTTCCTAGAAAGCACAAAGGTAAGACAATTTGATTTTCACAGAGGAACCAAGTGGGGAAACTAACATTAAGACGTCAAGGTGGAAAACATGCACTGTCAATGTCCTAAATACAGTTTAAAAATTTGTGAGGCATAAAGACTGTGTCACTAATGGCATGTGTTTTATAAAAAGTAAAACACTCATAATATTTTAGCTATTTCTTAGTCTACACAACTAAAATATACTAAACCAAAACACTTGCACTTTTCCTACATGCCACTCCTCAAAACATAAATTACTTACAGTTAAACAGATCCTTAAAGATAGTAAGTAGGCCTCACATGCTCCCCCAGAAAATGATTTTGCAAAGACAGTTAACGTCTGGTAATGGTACAGGAATGTATTACCATTTAAAGACTCTTAATAGTTTTGTTGTCACGTAAGGAAACACATTTTAAAACGCGAAGACTAGCAGAAGTATTTCACGTGGATGATTCAGTTTACCCATAAAAATAAACGTTGCAAATAGGCAGAAACTGCCACAAAACCAGAAGATAATCACACGCACAAAACAATCCCCCCACATTGTGCAAAAGCACTGAGGGTGTTACAAGATTTACTCAGCACTGATCTTAAATTCAGAAATCCCAGATATGTGGATAACCACTTGACTGGTTTCCTTTGAAGGACGTAAACAATACTCAAGGGTGTATCCAATTCTGATTGCTAATTACAATACCTCCAAGCACTGCTGCAGCCGGATTTGCTCCCGAATTCACAACAGACGCTGCTACGTGCAAGACACAGCCCGGGAAGAGAGTGACCATTTGTCAACCGCCAGCCCCGGCGCTTCCCACCTGCAGCACCGGCTGCCGGCAGGGCCCGGGCCACCGGAGGAAGGGCGCGTTCGCGGGCGGCAGGCGGAGGCGCCGGGGAGAAAGGAGGCCTAGGGCACCCCTCGCCTGTGTCGCCAGGACCGGGCCGGTTCCCCGCCTGTCACGCACCATGTGCCAGCCGAACGGCGCCGGGGACAACCGGCGCGGATGAGCAGCGGCACCACCCCCGCCGCGGCAGCCGGTCCCCGCCGGGGAGGACGGGGCAGCCCGGCGCGGCGAGGCGCCCGCGGGTGGGCCCGGGCCCGGCGGGCCCCGGCGCGATGAGGGAGGGCGGCAGGCCCGGCCCCCGCTTTACTCACACTCGGGGCAGCTGCAGCGGCGGCGCCCCCCGCCTCTGGAACACGCCGTCCACGAAGACGCCGTTCTTGCCGAGACAGCGCAGGTAGAAGTCCCCTCCGCCGCCGCCGGCGGCAGCTGCGGGGTCCCCCTGAGGCGGAGGCGGCGGCCCGTCCGCGCCGGCCGGTGGCGGCGGCGGGGGAGCGGCGGTGAAGATCTCCAGGTGGCGCCGGGAGATGAAGCTGGAGTGGCCCATGCTCACATCCACCGAGCCCTGCGACGAGTTGCGGCCGATGGTCACCGAGCGCTTTTTCATGAGGTACTCGAACTCCCGGCCCTCCAGCCGCGCCACGGCCGCCGCCGCCGCTGCCGCCATCTTAGCGAGCGAGGGAGGGAGGGAGGGAGGGAGCGGGCCGCCCTCCGCTGCGCCCCGCCGCCCGCACCGGCCCCGCAGCCGCAGCCGCCGCCAGACACAGGCAGGGAAGGGGACGCCGCTCAACCCAACCTGACGCAGTCCGCCGCTGCCTGATGGACGGCGGCGCCGGGCCAATGCGCGGCCCGCACGCCCATGGGGCTATGGCGGCGCGGCCAATGGCGAGCGGCGCCGCGGCCAGCGCCGCGCAGCACGCTCGAGTGTCGGGGCCCGGAGGAGACGGGAAAGGCCCGGAAAACGTGGAGCAGATCGGCGAGCGGGGAAGCGGAGCGACCCTTCTCCCCCCGCCGCACCGGGAGAGCGGCTGCGCCAGCCCCGGTCCCACCGAGCCCCGAGGGAGCGGCGGGGCAGCCCCTCCCCGGCGGCGCGGAGCGGAGCGTGCTCGCTCAGCCCGGCGGGGCCGGCCGGCCTGCCTGCCATCTTCCCCGCCGGAGCCCCTGCCCGCCCCGGGCACCTGCGGGAGGCCGGGCGGCCCCCCCCGGGGAGGGCGGCCCCGGCGCTGGGCGCCTGAGCGAGGCCGCCGGCACCCGCCGCAGCCCATGGACGTGATTTTTTTTTCACCCGGCGGACCGTGCACCACGCGTGCCCTCCTCTCGCAGGGCGTTCATAAACGGCGCTCAGCGTCAGGGTGAGGGGGAAGGAAGAATAAAATAAATACAAGTACCCAGCCGTTGCTGGGGGGTGGGCTACCACCGCCAAAGTAGTTTGTAACTCCTCAAATTTAGCCTCAAAAGACCACGGGGGGGGTGCGGGGGGGAAGAAGGTTTGATACATCATACACAGCTGATGGCCTTTTAAGGGTTAGGTTAAAACCAGAGGTAACTCCCTGCCTTGTAGCTTTGTAATATCCACGTAAAACAAGGACAGTGCTTTAAATTTAAAAGTTTCAGATAAGACAGTGTATTTGTGCACACGTGTCTCTCGGTTTAGGTGTAGTTTTCGCATATGCACAAGGGCACAAAAAAGCAAGCAAGCAATCTGACCTGACAAAACAGAATGAAACACCCAAATGCTGGTGCTCTGTCACTCCTCCCAGGGGTCACAGCACAGGGGAGAGAAAACTACACCAATACCAGCATGGGAAACACTGATAGAGCATCCCCAACAGTGGTTCAGACCTTAAAATATTACAGGCTACCAAAGACATTCACTGTACCCGGTTTATCAAACATATTATCTGCAATGGGAATGTTTTACCTGATCAAAATCTTCTATACATGTCTCTGTGCTCCTCTAACTGTTACAAGGACCAGGCACTCTGTCAGAATGGAGAAGTAAACAATTAAGAAACACTTTTGAATATAAACTGTGAAGAGGGTGCTAAAACTTCTTTATGTCTAAATACAGATATAAACACTTCATTGTAACAGCCCGGCTAGCCTTACCATATTTTAAAGCACTTTTTGTTGAGAAGGGGTTTTTTGTTGTTTATTTGAGCTTTTTTACAGTACTGAATTTCACTGTTACTCATTCAGAATACACTTACATATTTCCTTCAGTAGTACACGCATGCTCTGCAGGAATTGAAAATAACCTTTAATAACATTTTTATGTTCCGGACAAAATCAACTTGCTAACAACATTTAGTAGTAAATTTGAAACTCAAACTTCTGTTTTTGTACATTTGAGTCAACAGGTCTCTAATTGCAGACATATTTTATGTGTGCTTAGGAACAGAATACAGTGCCTGCTACCTGCAAAGTTAGAGCAAACCTTGTTTTTAGCCTAGGATTGTATCGGCACTTGTTATAAGCAGCTACAACACAATTCCATACTGGTTAAGTCCATTTATACAATCGCATACGCACACCAGATGCAGTAAAATATAGCAACAGTTTAGAGCTTTGGTTTCTTTTACAGAAAACTTTAGTTAAATCTTGCCCACACTTTGATATTTAGAATCAGACTTTCTTCTATACCAACATATGTTTGGCACAGAAAATGTGGAGCATCAGAGAGCCAGTTATGACTCCCTGATTCTCAGCTTTTTTTTATCCCTTGGCTCTGCTGCAACTATAGAAATGTTGTGCCTGCTTTGCTAACAATCGGTTAGGGATCCTGAGGGGTATGCCGTCTGAAAATTACCAATGGGATTCCATCTCCTAACACACCCCCACACCCGCAGAGAGAAAACAGGCAGATTGGGAGAGCAGCCAGGTGAATTCCCATCAGGCCAGCAGCACTTTCCACCACTCCTACGGTTGCTCAGTTCGCAGAAGTTAAAGGCTACTTTAACGTTTTCCATTATGTGAAACACAACTTTGTTAATGTGTATTAATTTATTAATAACATCCACAAAGCTGATAAACCTTCCTGTTCTTTTCATAATGTAACAGCACAGAGAACACAGCTATTGACAAAGAATTCTGAACAGAGTTTTGTAATATACACTGAAATTACTTTTCAAGCATCCAGTCATCAGTATGCTATTCTGTAAAAAGCAACTGAACACCAGCAGAAAGTTGGTTTACTTTTGTATTACCAACACTGTAGAACAAACAACAGATTCCATTGTCAGAAGCTATATTCATTTCAAGAGGACAGCTGAAATCTTTCAGCCCATGTTTTTCTGAACTGGTGCAGATTTACTCACTTTCTTTGTGACCAAAAAAAAATGCAGTCACAGGTCATTCCAACCTGTCCACTAGTATAAAGCAAGAAACAGCAGCTAGATGTGGTGGAACAGCTCATGCTTACATGTAACTCTCCAGTGCTGTTCAGGGTGTCTGGGTTCCCCAGAAACCCACTTCTTGAACATAACCCTGTCCTGACGTTAGAGCTGCATAGCAGATACCTACTGTTCCACACATTTTTTTCCCTGCCAGCTGAGTATAAGCACAAGACGTTCTTTTTCTGCCTGCTTTGGATCCACCTTAACTATTAAGGACAGAACTAAGGCTCCAAGTTACTGACCAAAATATAATCTGAGTTACCAAATTGCTGCAATTGCCACTGACACTAAACAAGCACTCACTGCACTCCTCCACTTTTGGACCTCTGAGCTAAGTAGCCCAGTGTTATCCAGTCCACATCAAAACCCATCTGCATCACAGAAAACAATCTGATTTAAGCTTAACAGAAATGTATAAATACTATGTGAGGTCTAATCCATTAATACTATTTTATTTGACCAAGCTTCCCTTAAAATGACTACATATTTTTAGATGTGATCTTTTTTTCTTGAAGCTCATGCTATAGCAACAAAAGTGTGTCCATTTGCAGTCTGCTTGTGCTTGGGGCTAGTAAACTGTCATATAATCAAGTTTTCTTTCTTCGGTTTTCTTATTATATGTGCTCTGTACTGAGGGCTATGAATTGGTGAAGCAGCCTTCTCAAGAAGTATTTTCACAGCTCTGGAAATCGTGGAATACTACTACAAGAATGTGATGAATAATCAAGTACATTAAGTGACCCTAATTGCTTGGACACAACCAGCATTAAACAGCTTTTAAAAGCCATTAGAAGCTATCCATAATCTTTTTATTACAGCAAGTGTCACAAGTTTTGAGTGAGATTTGATATTTGTTAAACAAAACCCTACAAGGTTAATTTGCAAAACCACTTCTCAGTAGCATTCATATGCGATTTAAGAAGATAAGCACTTCATAGCAAAACCTGCACAACAGAATGAAGATTTCACATATTGATATCCCTGCACCTGACAAGCACAGTTTTTTTTCAATTTACTAGGTGAGAAGCTATAATAAGCTGTAATAACTTCCTCCAACACACAGCCTCAAAACCGCTGCCATACACAACCACATTTTTAAGTAATCCGGATAACCATTCTGCAGCTCTTTACATGCCTAAATTTAACGATGTGTGGAAAACTTAGTAGGACGCGTGCTGCGATTTAGTCATTTTCTCACAAACGCATTTTGGTCAAGGGGAAAGCGTTAAAGAAGCATCATGTAATTACTGCAAAATATTAAAAATAGCAAATGATCGGGATGGTGTGAGGCTGCCTGGTTACATACCCAACCAACTCCTGAAGGGACTTTAAAATTTATAGGAAAAAATAAACAGCTATACCTCATAAGTTGTTTTTATAGGTTTTACAGATGCCTTTCAAATCTCTGTAAGTAATAAAGACCGGAAAGCGTAATATTCTTGAAAATGCCCAAGATATCCAGATGAACACGTTTTGGTTGGGTTTGAGGGGGAACGCGGAAGAGGGCGAAAACAGCTATTTAGCCTCCACCAGCCACTTGTTCGCGTCCTGCTGTCCTCGGAGGGAAAGGGACTCGGTGCTGTCCGAGTCGCAACGGCCCCGCCGCTCGCTGCGTCCCCGAGTTTTACCGGCGCAGGAGACCCGGGGCCGCCCCGGCCGCCCGCCTCACCGGGACCCCGCGCTCCCCTCAGCCCGCCGCGCGCTTCCCGCCCTCCTACCCAGCCTGCCCCGCGCCCCCGCCGGCGGCGCTGCCTGAGGGCGGCCCGGGGCCGAGGGCTCCGCGGGCGCCCGCCCGCCGGTCACGCCGCCCGCCAGCCCGGGGAGGCGGGCGGAGCGGAGCTGCCATGGCCGCTGACGCGTGTTTGTAAACACTGCGCGGCCGGGGGCGGTGCTGGCAGCGCGGCCCCGCCGCGGGCTGCAGGCGCCGCCCCGGTGTTTCCTGTGAGGAAAAACGGATCCGGGCGGAGCGGAGCGAGGCGTTTTCTCCGGTATTTTACAGTTACTGCACCCTCCCCGCGTTCCTGTTGACGGCTGAGGCTAAAGCGCGCTTTCTTGGGTTGTAAAAGCAGTTTTGCGAGGCGAGACCTTCATCCTCAAGCGGTTCTGGGAGGCGAGTAGTCGACTCGCCCCAAACTAGAATGGAGTAGGCACGGTTAGTAACCAAAAAGATAAAGCATGTACAGCCCTTACGCCTCGGCTTGTTTCAAGCAACAGCGAACAACGAAAATTCAAATGCGTGCCTTAAATTGAAAGCATCCCATCCACCCTCGAAGGATAATTACTCATAAAGCAGCTCTAAATCCTGACACCACAAAAGGATTTTGAAAAGCCACAGCAGCATTACTCTGTTAACTGGAAATGTGAAACCCTCCATTACTTTGCAATTCAGTCTTGCATGATGTATGATCTTTGCCAAATACATAGCTAATTAATCTTCATGCATCTATTTCATGTTTAAAATTTTAACACCTCGGAAAAAAATTGGACCTGGTGATTAAAAACATTTTTGTTTTGTTACCCACTTCTAAACAGAGTCCTACCACTATGAGGTCTTGAGAAACTGAACCTCACCAGTTGCAACACTTACTGTATTTAATGTTGATCATTAGTTATTGCTATTAGTTATGATCCCATTTAAGCACAACTCTAAGGTTTTTCTTCACGTTAATTTGCCATTTGATATTCATCATATCTCTTGGCTTGATCAAGAGATGTATAACTACTCTGTTGTCAGTAAACACTTAGAAGTACCTGTTAAAACATACCTGAGACCAAACTGACAACTCTTCCATTTTTGCTGTCAGAATAGGTCAGTCCCACAACATCACTGTGGGAAGCATCTTTGTGGCTTTTTAATTCTCTGAGAGCTCAAACTGTGTAGAGTATTTTCTATGCATACACAGCTGTAAGTATTTGAAGAAAATGATGTAACCTTCCACTAAAACTAAGAAAGGCTGGCACTTGTCTTTTAGAGTAACAGCCCAACATCAAGTCTATTCACCACGGCAGAAGTTTTACTCTTAATGTTGAGCTGAATTCTTTTTCAGTCTCCTTTTAGCACTTCCACATTAGGTACCTTTATGATACTGTATCATAAACAAACTAAACCTTGCACAAAAAAAAAAAAAAAAAAAAAAAAGCAGCAGATTAAGCTGCCAGTGTCCAGTTCATCTGGAAGAGATGTTTCGTGTTTTGGGCGTCTGAAGGAGGTAACTGCAGCGGTACCACTATACATGGCAGATGCAAGTTCTACGGAACCAGTAACAGAAGTTGTAGTTTGGTTGGCAGAAAAAGGCAGGCGAGTGGGAGTGGAGAGTATAAAATAGGGTAGGCAAATGAGTAAATGATAGAACTATTAACATTAATCAAAACCATACAGGAATTATTGAAATGTGAATAAGCCAAATGAAACGACCAGAGGCAAATTAAAACCAATACCAAGTGTAAACTAATAAGCATCAGTAAAAAAAACGTACTTTAAAATATTCTTTTCATGAAAGAGCACTCTAGGTTTCAAAATCAGTTCCACTGGTGTTAGTTTGGTTTTTTGTTTGTTTGTTTTTAAAATCAATGAATGCCATTCCCTCAGCCAGCAGAAAGCCAAAAAGAACAGTGAAAAAGAGACATACTTTATGTCTGTCTGCTCTGAAATAATTCTTACTCTGTCCAAAAGGATAACTACAGAACTAAGAAAAGTTCAGAGAAGAGTTAATGAGATAATGAGGTACGAAAACATTATTACACAAAGGTTAAGAAATTGCAATTGTTTTCAGTAGACAAATGTTATTGAAATAATATAACAAGGCAAAACCACAGTGAGAACAACCTCATGATCCATAAAAAGATACTGTAAGATTCCTGTAAGATAGAAAATTGGCTGAATTCAAAGCACACAAATATAGGTCCTACAAGGAACATGATGATAGCGGTAGTATTTTTCATATCCATATGAAGTATTTAGCATTATTACTTTTAGTTGCATAGCCAAAGCCTGAACAACTTAAAATAGTGACTTCTCCATCCCTATTAGAAGTCATACAATACAAGGACCATCTCTTTTCTCCATTTACACAAAAGCTAGCAAGAATTGGTTTTGCCCGTATTTGCATTTTTAACACTGGCATAAAATGGAGCTCCCTGTGAATCTCTTTTCCTGACTATAGAAACAGAATACTAAAGTATGTAAGCCTCGGGTCTGGCCAAACCGATTTTTTTTATCTTCCTAATAAATCTCCAACTATTCAGAATGGTTGTCATATTTAATTGCTTTTTCTGCGAAACTTACTTAAGTTTACACCTAATCTTCACAACAGAAATCAAAGCATTTAAAGATTTGATAGACGGGAGAGAGAACGTCACACTATTAACTTCTTTTGAGGAAGGGAAAACTTGAAGAGTTTCTTCTTGTAAACCAGTTTCTCTGTGGGCAGCCAGAGAAAGAAAACGGATTTACGGAAATCTGGATGTGGCAGAAATAACTGATCATTTTCTCCCAGAATATAGAATAATTTTCTCCCAGAAAATATAGAATAAAACTAAAATATAACATAAATTATCTGAACAACAAAAAGCACTTTAAAACAATTTAGAAAAAAAAATGCAAACAAATGCTGCGATAGACTGATTATTTTAGAGTCCTGTGCAAATCATGAGATGTTCAAGCAACCTCCAAAGAGGTGGGGGAGAACTACAAATATTTCTGATGGGACAAACAGGAGTCTTTTCAAGATTCAAGGTCATCTTAATATGTCTAGCAATACATAAAGGACAGCACAGACTGGTCCTGAGATTACTATTTTCTTTTCTAAGAGTTGTCAAAATATCAATACCAAAATTCTTTTGACACTGGGAACGAGAAAAAGCATAAATGAAAAACAATTAACATCTACTACAAATAGAAAATAAAGTTGAGGCAGAAACTGTCACTTCTAAATTTTCACCTGGGTCATACATAATAACCACTCTAAAGGTCAGTCCCTTGGGGAAAAACAGCACAACACAGGGAAAATGGTTCCCTTCTGCAGATACTCAGAATACCAGACACAGTCAGTGAAACATCAAGATCAGGAGCAGAAATATTAAGATGAGTCTCAGCAGTCAGAAAGACCACTACAGAAGGCGTGTCAGAGAACAGCCAACTAGCAAGTCTGGGATCAGAAAGCCACTGGAGCTCCGGGACAGTAATTACTGATAGATGTCCAACAGAGAGAAATTTGTCTCTGCTCTGAGGACTCAAGTTCTTCAGAGCTCATCACCTACTGTACCTCAATTTATTTTGCTGATTGAATTAGCCCATGGTTAATTTGCGATGATACTCTTCTATTCACATTTAACTGTTAGAAAAAGAATGATGTAACAGACTATGCAAATCACCAAATAAACAACCCCCTCATGACTAGGATCTGAAGTTTCTTACCAGTGTTTGAGCGACATTTATTACACAGCGTTTCGTGAGGCAGCCCTGTTGCCAACAGAAACTGCCTGTTTGGATCATAACAAAACTGAACAGAAGAATGTGAAACAATTCACTTCTAATTTTTACAGTTGCTTCAGTTAGCAACATACAGTTCCCCATTGCTCGTTATTAAATGAGTAAGATGCAAAGATAGGTCAAAGAAAAATCAACACATTGCTCAGGAAAAAAAGAAAAGTTTTCTCAGCATAAGTTACAGAAAGCTAACATGAATAGAAGCATTTATATACATGTAAGATATATACAGAGATTAATAAATATTATAAAAATAAAGCTTTCCTGAGGATGGACTATAGCATTAGAGAAAAAACTGTAACACGCATCAACTCCACAGCATATACCATAGCATTAGCTATGGGGCTTTTTGGTCTTATCATAGCTGTTTAGGCATCCTGAAACTTGCCAAGTACAAAAGCTTTGCAGTTTCCTACTCAAAATACAAGATGCTAATATAGCAACCATAACACCTAAATAGGGTGGGAAAAAAAATCTAGCCATTTTCTAACAAGATCCTAAGATATAAACAAACGTAAAAACTGTGAGTAAATTGAAATACTAGTAGGCTGCAGTTAAAGTATACATACTTCCCCTTCTCCCAAGAGCACAAACATAAAATTGAAATCAGCCAACTTTCACACATCATCATTAAGTTTTCTAATTCATTAGAACCTCTCCACGTAAGAATATGAATTTTAGAACATGTCTGTAAATAAAACTGCTACACAAATCATACACTGCGGACAGATTTCCCTGTGGTTGGTCAGTGCTGGCAGATGACTGGAAAAATTCAACTACAGAAAGCCAGCAACTCAATGGTTTAATTAGTGTGTCGGCAGGCCCATGGATTCAACTGAATTTTTAACTTTTTACTAACCAGTTTCAATGAACTATTTGTATTTCCCCCCCATCACATTCCTAATGGCACTTTCCATTCAAATTGCCTTTATTTTGCTTAATAAAGCTTTGTTTCTCTCTTCTCTCCCCCCCCCCATTAAACACTTAGTAAGATGCCATTTGCGGGAATCAAATTGACTACTCATGTAAGCACAATTATGCAAACTGACCTGTGGTAACTCAATGCATTTGCTTTGTCATACACTGTTACAGAGCTCTCCAGTAATGATTTTATTTGCAAGTTTGGGATCAGTGATGATCTTGTCTGACTGACCTTTCGGAGCATTTTTTT